TCTAGAGAAGTATGAGAAGATCTTCTAAACAGATCTTTCACTAGAATTACTATTGAAACAAGGATTTGTATATGAGATTGACACAGAGAATGAGAACCTAGTCAATCAGAATGCATATCTTCTGTCACAGACATATCTTGAAGAACAGAAGTATCACATTACAGACCTTCTAGAATGTAGTCATATATAACTCTCATCAAGTACATAAGACTTCTCAGTTCTAGACTGACCTTGTAACCGTGTCTGAGACCAGAAACAGAATTTTTAATAGTCTTATTACTAATTCAACTGATCTCATTACACAGTTTTAACATTAGATAGTAGTTTCATACTGTCTCAGTGAGACTTACTGTCTACTCTTGTCACATTTTTCAAATGAGATCATGATTTTCACTTCTGAATTTAAATTATTTTTATTACTTTAAATGACTTTAAATCTCATTTGAGCATTATCAAAAAGCTTTACTTTTTAAAACATTAAGAATAGTCTAAAAGAAACCTTAAAATGTCTAAAAATAGTAACTTTATGCCAAGAATGAGACTAAATGAGATTAAATAAGACCACTTTCTCATTTTTTTCAAGTCATAGTTTCATTTCAAGATTTGATATATAGTCACTTTACATGTTTTTTAATGACTAGTCCCAGCGGGATTCACGCCAAGAAATGTATAAGATCAGATCAAATGAGACCAAACATGAAATTTATAGTTTCAGCGGTCAGTCTACTCAGTTCTATTCATGAAAAAGATGAGTGAGAAGTGACAGATATGTAGTGATTATTAAGCACTTAACAAGCTTATGATTAAGAATGAATATTCACTGTTATGAATTCAATAACAGTTGAATTTAGTTGAAAACATCTAATATCTATTGAAGATTAATTTTCTCTCAGAATACTGACAGATCTGTGTAGATAAACTGTCAGTACTGTGAACTATGTTTAATATATAATGAAGAAGGTTTAAATTTCTAATAATATTATTCAGTCTAATAAATGCACATGATATCTTTCAAATATTGATGAATATAATTGTTTATAAACAGAATCAAATCTCATATCTCATATATCTGAATAATATTCTAGTCTTCTCAAATTTATACAATGAATATCTGAAGTATCTCCATGAAGTGCTTATAACTCTGATAGAGTATAAGCTCTACATCAAATTAATAAAGTGTGTGTTTGAAACAGAACAGTTGAAGTTCATAGAATAGATAATAAGTAATGACTTTATATACTTTATTCTGAAGAAATTGAATGTTATAGTAAATTAGTCACAGCTGAGAAATATATATTATGTACAATAGTTTCTTAAGTTGATCTCATATTATCACAGATTTATCAAAGATTTTATATGAATAGCTGCATCACTCTCAAATGTCTTAAGAGAAATAGATTCTAATCTGTAGAAGAAGAAGTTTCATTTAATTATCTGAAATTCTATGTATGAAGAGGCCTTTCTTACACTGAGAAAATGTGTGATAATATTCTCAGTGCTTATTCAATCAGATTATAATAAATATTTCTATATCAAGAGAGATATATCTGAATGAGCTATTGAAGATGCTCTTTTACAGATGAGTAACAACAGCAAGCTGCACTCAGTAATATACAATGATAGAAAACTATCAGATGCTAAGCTCAATTATTCAGTATATGAAAAGAAATTGCTAGTGATTATACATGTATTGATATTATGAGATAAATATATTAATAACAGGTATATAATAATAGTGCTCACAGATCTTGAAAGTCTTATCTATCTATAATCAATAATAAAACCTTTTAAATACTTAGTATATTGAATCTCAGAGTTTCACATGTATAATCTTCATATTAAATACTGAAAAGAATCAGATGCTGTAATACCTGATATAATCAGATACAGACTCAATTTCATGAGTAAGAATTCTGTGAATCAAATATAAGAGAAGTTCATGTTAAATATACTGAGAGAATACAAGAAATCAGAATGAGTGAACACAATAATCTCTTACTTAAAGAATAACAAGATATCAGATAATAAGTATCTTACAAAAGTAGTAGAAGAGATACTTTCAAAGTTCAAGCTGAGAAAATTGAAAAATAATGTTGTGCTTTACTATGATCTAGAATATGCAGAAGCTCTCTATCTAGAATATTCATTTAGACACAACTTAGTGACTTATATATACAAGGAATTTGATCACTTAGAAAGCTCTGAACTTATGAGTGTACTTGAATCAAGAGTATACTGGCTAAGCATGACTGAGAACATTCAGATATACACTCATGAGTGCCTGAATTATCAGATTATGAAAGAATCTAAGAAAGGATTGAAATGTGAGAAAGTGCAATATCAGATGAAATATACAATACAACTGTTTAAATGATGAAGAATGAACCTCATAGACATACTGCTATAAATGTCAAATGAAAATTATTGAATAATCACTGTTATTGACTATGCTACTGACTGATCAGTTGTGAAAGCAGTTTCAGAGATGACAGAGAAGATGATAATGAAGTTTCTACATAATAAAATCTATGTCAACTATGAAATACTGTGTGAGATTCTAACTGATAATGATGCAAATCTTGTAGAAGAAGTGATAAGAGATTTCATGATTTAGTTACAGATAAGACATTATAGAATAACATTATATAATTCACAGATAAATGAGAAGATGAAACACTTGAATGAAATTCTGAGTAATATACTAATAAAATATCTAGTGAGCAAGCCTACATGACTATGAAATTAATATCTTGAGCAGGTGCTATTAGTCACATGAATTCAACAGCATGCAGTCTTTAAGCATTCATCATTCTACCTGTTATATGAATTGCATCCGCGCATTCTGAAGAATGCTTCAGAACAGATGAGAAAGGAAACAGCAGTTGCAGACATAGCAGAAACAGTGATTGCAGACACAGCAGTCACAGACATGAAATCAAGATTGAAAGAGATCAGCTATGCATGTGCAAAAGTTAATAAGATACTTCTGAACTGAGTAATTCAATTGAAAAGAATATGAGACTCACTAGTTAAGAAATCAAGTCTCAAGATAAGAATGTGAGTTCTCATATATAATGAGAATTCTGAGAAGTTTCAATCTAGATGGTTTAAGGTCTATAAAATACTTAAATCACATTCTCTGAGAACATACACAGTGAAAGAATCAGAGAAATGAGTCTTGTACAATTTAATAAATAATTCATATCTTATGAAGATGAAGATGTAAGACTTAAGTAAATTATAATCATCTACAGCACTATCATCAGTGTTAAAAAAGAAGAGACTTATAATTGAAAAGTCTTATAAAGTAAGAGAAATTATAGATATTTATAAATCAGATAATCTCACTTATTCTGATCTTTTCAGAATTATAAGAAAATAATAAGAAGTAATGAATAAATCAGATGAATATCACACTTTAATAAGTAATGAGACTGTAGCTGATTATATAATAATGCACTGCAGAGAGTGAGTATAATGCAGTAAAGAGCAGTTTCAAAGCAGCAGACTTACACATGAATCAGATTACAGAAGAAAAATGAATTCAGAGTTAGATTTAACTATCTATATTAGTTCAATTGTGAAGACAACAGAGAATAAAGTATCTGAAACATTCACAGATATGTAAAATCAAGCTATCTTAATCTCTGAGAATGCTCAGAGATCAGATGAGACTAGCTTTAATAAGCTGTTTATAATAGTAATCTAAGCAGGTGAGAAGAGACAGTATATTGTACAAGACAGAATCATAAGAGATGAAAGCTGCTGAATCTAGTCACTGAATACTGTATTATATAGAGATTATATAGAAGTAGTAACTAGCAGATAAAGGAAAAGTATAAGAAAAAGAAAGAAATAATGAATTAGTTATTAACTATAAAAGTCAGCTGTAAAAGATAAATGTTATTATACACATCTTATTCATTTTTATATATTATATATTTAATCTATTTTCAACACCACACTACTCAAAAAATATCAAAAACAAAGAAAATCTTAAAACCTAAAATCTGTAAGAGATTCAAGAGCTGTAAGCTACTCTTATAATAACACTATATATATCTCTAATTTCTCTAACACTCTATGTACAACAGTATGTAAGAATAAGTACTTGCAGGCGATTATTCAGATGTTTGCAGCTTGGCATGATATGTACTGTTAACTACTAGAAGTATTCACAGTAGAAAGATAAAATGTAGAGATTAAATGTATAATAGCATTCAAGCTGAGTTATGAATAGTATTCATGAACTCCAGTCTATATAGTTGTGTGTAGCCAAGGGCCGCTAACTCTATTGATTACGTGAGAGATAGAAATAGGGGTAAAGAATCCGCGAGGAGCGGGATTTCTTACACAGTAATATCATTTATCACAAGATCAGCTGAAATATCAATATAGAAATGTATATATATGTGTGTAGAAAAATTGAAAGAGAGCATGAGACCTGCACAATCAGAAGTCAAGACAGAGAGAACAGAGATAAAAGAAACAGAAGAAGAAGAAGATACAGAACTGAATAAATAATAGCAGAAGTTACTCAGAGCTGAACACTTACAACACAGAGTATGCATAATCTTATTCACAGAAGAGGTGTTAAGAGAGAAAATGAAAGAAGAAGCTTGAGAGTGAAAAGAGATAGTCTCAGCAGTGTTATTATCTTGAATTAAAATAACCTCTGACATCAGAGTAACTAAGAATCATTGTTAGTATATAAAACTGTAAAAACAGAGATAATAATTACTGAATAAACACTTACTGATCTTAGAATTATACATATAATTACAACACACATGACACTTCTCAGAATGAGAGAGAGAAACACAGAGAAATACAGAGAGAATAACATAATATATAAACAGCCTGTTTTCATGATAACATCTCAGATAAGATGTACAAGTCTCATACTTATGAGTGTAAAAGAGTATAACATTCACATTTCTGTTTCTGAAAACACAGATATCTTTTACCTGTATTATGAAGTTGAATAACAGATGTTAGACAATAGACTGATACAGATCTATCATTTCAAAGAAATTCATCAGAGTAGATATATTCATAATATTGAACTTTACAGTTATAAAAAGTTTCTTGATATCTGTGAACATTATAACTTTATATATAATAAAACTCAGAACAATTTCTTCTAAGAACAGAAAAATCAGTGTTAGAAAGAGAAGATGAAAAAAGAAAAGACTTATAATCTCAATACTGTTAAAGAGAAGAGAAAGTCTCTGATATAAATAATTGATTATCTCATCATAAATACTTAAAATGAATATAATAATCAACATCTATAACTAAGCATTATATAGTTGTATTATATATTATCTTTATATAATAAATTATTCTAAAGATTAGTAAGAAGAGTGAAAGTGTATATACTGAGAAACATAATTTATCAAATCTATACAACATCTTCTCAAAATAAAGAGAGCTGATAATGAAAGCAGAAGCAGCAGAGACAGAGAGAACAGAAGAAGCAGAAGTAAGAATCACAGAAACAGAGATAGCAGAAGCAGGAGAATCAGATACAGAGACAGATATAAGAGATTGAGAAAGAGATGTAGAGAAAGAAACAGAGAGAGTAGAAAAAGATATAGAAGACTCAGTTATATATAACACAGATAATTTCTTCATTATCACATTTCTCAAGTTCTCAATTAACAATTTAATATTGAGATTATAATTATCAGCAGATATGAATCTGTCAATATATGAAAATTCTATAGAAATAAAAATTAATACATCAGTATCTGCATTCACCTACAATCAGAAAACACAATCAGATATCTGATAAGAAAGAAGATCAAGAGTATATAAGAAGATGAAAAAAATATACTATTTTTAATAGTACATTCTGATAATTGTTAGAAGATAAACAAGTTCTGATTATATTTCACAATATGTTACACTTACTGCTAATAAACTGCGTGGTATAAGTACTATAACAATACTTATTATGAGAACAGAGAGCTATCATCAGAAACACATATAATATAATAGATGAACAGATAGAAGGTATTAAGTAGAAGAAGAGACAGAAATCTTAAATAAGATAGTAATGTTTAATAAAGATGATAATGTAAAGAAGATAATTGAAGAATGAAAAAAGTTAGTGAATAAGAGATGTACTATAGTAGAAGTTTCTTTGTGAAAATGTACACAGAATACTAGTCAAATCAGAAATAGACTATACAATTATGAACACTAGTGACATGCTAATTCACATGAAGCTAGAGTGTATGTCATGATCACATGAGTGTGACTGAATCAGGTGAGAGAGAATGTGATTTGAAAGAACATATGACTGCTGAATAATAACACAGCCACTTCTGAACATACTTATGAATGTAAAGAGGTCATAGCGGCCACTAATTAATTTAGTATAATCTATATAAGAAGCCGGCGTACGCCTGTAATTATACACTGACTGAAGCAATCTTTGAATTATAAATAGATTTAGTTAACAAGTCTGATCAATAAACATTCTTTAGAAAAGATATGAAACAGAAATCTATTATAGATCTAACTTTCATATCATAAAATCTAATTGAAAAAGACTTATAAACTGATTTATTATTTCAAATAAAACTTCACAATTAAGTCATGAAATCATTCAATTTAATATTGAACTGAGTGAAAAATAAAGAAGTGAAAATCCTCTTCTCTCTAATCTGTATAACTTTGAAAAAGCTGATTGAAAAGTAGTTACAGAAAGTGTAAAACGGCTGAAATCTGAAATGCAGAGTGAGCTCTATTGAAATTAAAGTTAAGATATCTTAAATAAAATGCTTAAGAATAGAGTAAAGCTGATTACATCTATTCTTCTAACAAGTATTAGAGAAAATATTTCAAAGAAAAAGTCTTCTAAGTATTTCAAATCTTGATGAAATGAAAATATCACTTTTAAAAGAAAATAATTAGTTACTGCTGAGAGAGATTGAAAGAATAACTTAATATCTGATAAAGAGTTAAAAGCTATTCAAAATGAATATTTTTCAGATATTAAAAGAGTTAAAACAGATTGTTGAAACAAATTTCTTGAAGAAGTATAGAAAAAAGAAGTTTTTTAAAGTCTTCAACTATACTAAAACAAGAAGTTATTATTATTATTATTCTTCAGTTATAGATGTATGCAGTCAGAGACTCTGATATCTACCTGAGAACTTTTAGTTCTCAGGGTTTTTTATATATCTATAAAGTTAACTATTATACATTCATCAATTTCAGATATGTAAAATCAGAAAATTCCTGCTCAGAATACAAAAACTGTTTACAAAGTGCAGTATTTTAACATCTTCTAATACTTTAAAATCATCTGACAATACCATGATAAAAGAAAAGAGAACACAGTCTGAAAGATAGACATATTAAATAGATGAATAGAAAAGAATAGAAAGAAAAAGTAAAGTAAAGAGAGACTGTAACAAAACAAATTATTAAAAGATAGTATATAGCTGTTGTAACAGACTATATCTGATTAATTTTCTTCTCTTCATATTCAGATATTTCTGAATTTAGCTATTTTCTTATAGCTGCTTGAGTTTCTGATAGAAAGTCTATTAAGTATTTAATTCCAGTCTCAGTTGAGAATAAGAATCTCATATTTAATTGATTTAGATTATACTTCTCTTTCAATCTGGCTCTGAGACTATTGTATAATGCACAGTGTATTACAATATACTCAGAATTCTCATTTGTATTGTAGAATGAGCATTCTATTGAATCAAATCTATTATCAAATCTTTTTATATAAGATGTGAAATAGCCATGTTCTAGTTTCAGCTGCATTATAGATGAGAATACTTTCTTTTTACATTTAATTGAACAAGACTTTCACTTGAGTTTTGTTTGAAATCTTGTACATTTTTTTTGTTTCTGCCAGCTTTCATTTCACTTATCTAAACAAGATTCTTTTATCTTTCTCTTTATAAAAGATTAGAACATAATTTTTTGAATAGATCTGCTTAGTTCTGAAATCTTTTTTACAGCTGAATCAGCCAATTCATTGTCATGAATGTTCATATGAGCAGGAACTCAGTGCAGAGAAATTATCAGCTTTGATATTCTTCTCTTTTGAATTTTCAAAACAGAGTTTAAAATCAGTTCAAGATTCATTTGATTATTATGAATCTAACTATTTCTAAGTCTTTTTAAGACAGCTTAACTGTCAGAGAATATTCATATCTCTTTTAAACTATTTTCTCTTTTATAAGATTTCATTTCAATGAGTTTGAAAGCTTTCACTATTACAAATAGTTCAGTATCAAAGACTTCAGATTCATTATCTGAATTTCAGAAATCTGAGATAAAATTAATATTATCTTCAGTATAAGCAATGTCTGCATCTAATCTATTTAAATTTTCATTTTTTAAGTTATCTGAATAAATCAGAATAGAGTCTTCTATATTAATTGTAGAAATTCTCTTCAAATACTGTTCATATTCTTTCTCTTCAGATAGTTCACTTATTTGTCAGTCTATAAGAGAATCAAGCTTTTCTCTTCAGAGAGATATCTTCTCATGATTAACTTTTTTAATATTTAAAGAAGAAAATTGATCTTTAATCAGTGAGTATAGTCTATATAGTTAAGAAGGCATTTTCTTTGAAGAATTATTTTCATTTCAATGAATAAATCTATTTCAATCTAGTTCATTTCCAGAGTTAATGATGAAAATGATGAAGAGACTCTTTCTCTGATTATATGATTTGAGCTCATCTTCATAACTCTCAGAGCATAGTTCATACAGGTCTTTTTAAATTCAATAGCAGAAGATGGAATTGAAGCTTCAATTTTCATTATTTTAATAGAAGATGATTTGAATGCTCTCAGAATTCTTCTCAAAACTCTGTTTTATAGACTTTGAAAAAGTTCAGTGAAATTTCTTTGATTATTCTATTAAACTTGAACTTCATAATCAGCTACTGAGATAATACAGGTTATATATAACTGTCTTATAGTCTGAAACAATAGACCTCTCTCTGTATTTGATAGTCTGATTATGTTATTCAATAGTCTTTCTGCCTTGATAGTTCTTTGTTGAATGTAATATTTAAAATTTAACTTGAACTTTAATCATACTTCTAATCATTTGATATTTAAACTGGGTTTAATCTCTCTATTTAAAAGAGTTAGATATAGTTCTTTCTCATTGAATCTAGAAAAGAAATGAATTAACTCAGTTTTATTCATATTAAATTAAATTTAATTATTATGTACTCTAATGAAGAATTTCTTTACTAATTTTTTAATCACTTTCAAATTCTCTCTGATTGTTTTTGAGCTGTAGACTAGATCAATATCATTTATATAACTCAGAGATCTCACTATTTTTGTATCTCTATTTTTGAATAGATATGCAGTGTATATTGCAAATAAAAATCAGAGAGATTGAAGATTCTTACAGTACTTCTATTTTTATCTCAGTCTTGTCTTATTTCATTTCATTAAAGAATAGTTGTATGATTCTTTTAGATATAAAACAGTTAACTCATTTTATTAGAGCAAGAGACAGTTTTAACATCTTCAAAGTCTGAATTAACTTTGATTTTGAAATATGATTAAATGTTTCTTTTATATCAATAAAAACTGCAGTTGAGACCAGATCTTCATGCTTTACTATTTGAATATTATGAATAACTGAGAGAACAGTGTCAATTACAGAACATTGATTTCTATCTTTCATTTATTCACTGAATAAAAGAGAATTATTAATAAAGCTTATAAAAAATATTTAAGAAGCTATTATCTTTTCTAAAACCTTTTCTAGACAGTTCAATAGAGATATTAGTCTATATAACTTAAAAATTGAAATTTTTCTATTAGATTTTACAAGCATCACTACAGTGGCTTCTCTTCAGCATTCAGAATGATATTCATTTTTTAAGAGATTGAAAAAGAGCTCAAAATATTCATTCTTTAAGTAGAAGTATATATTTTGAATAATCAAATAATTGATTGAATCAGGCTCTGCAGCAGTTTTAACTGAACTTGAGAAGATAGCTGACTCTAATTCATCTTGTATAAGCTCAGAGCATTCTCAGTCATTTTCATCAGTATAGTTATGAAGTGATATATTCTTTTTCTCTGAATCTGAATCTGATGAGTATTGAAAGAGAATTCTTATAAAAGCTTGACATTTTTTCTCAAAAACATTTGCTGTATATAATTCATTCTGAAACTTATATTCTAGAGCTGAAAGTTTTACTACACTTCTTATTTTAGTAAAGTTAAAAGCTTTAAAAACTTTCTTTTCTTATACTTCTTTAAGAAATTTATTTCAGCAGTCTGTTTTATCTCTTTTGAGATCTGAAAAATATTCATTTCTGACAGTTTTGAACTCTTTATCAGATATTACATCATTCTTTCAATTCCTTCTAGCAGTAGCTAATTATTTTCTTTTAGATATGATATTCTCATTTCATCAAGATTTAAAATACTCAGAAGACTTTTTATTTGAAATATTATCTCTAACACTTATTAGAATAATAAATGTAATAAGCTTCACTCTATTCTCAAGCATTTCATTTGAGATATCTTGATCAGGATTTCAATATAATTCACTCTGCTTTTTAGATTTTAACAGTTTTATACTTTCTTCAACTGCTTTTCAATCAGCTTTTTCAAAGTTAAACTGATGAGATAGAAGAGAGTTTTCACTCATTTATTTTTCACTCAGTTCAATATTAAATTGAATAATCTCATGATCTGATTCTGATATCTCATTTAAATTATTAAATCAGTTTACAAGTTCTTTTTTCATTAGATTTTGTGATATAAAGATTAGATCTATAATAGACTTCTGTTTCATATCTTTTCTAAAGAATGTTTATTAATCAGACTTGTTAACTAAATCTATTAAATACTTAAAAATTCATTCAATCAGATTATCTTCTCTTACTCCTCTTTTACATTCTGAAATTTATCAGAAATGATGTGTATTGAAATCTTCTACTATTATAGAGTTTCTTAATAAAGTTTTATTCAGAAATTCTCTATCAATTATTCAGATATTGTTATTTTTCTTCAATGACTTTTCATTATATGTATTTATTCACTGTCTAGTATCAAACTCATTCTCTTTATCTATAATATCACGCACCAGAATATCAGTGTCAGACATGATATTAAATCTTAGATTGAATTGATATCTTAATCTCTTTCTTTCATAGATCACTACTCTTGAGTTTATCTCAGACTTTTGAGATAGAAAGCAGTAGTAGCTTGAATGAGAAATAACATATTTTTACTCAGCATCAAAATTCAGCTTCTGAAGCAGTATAAAATCAACTTTTTATTCAAATGTAATTTGAAGATAAGAATAAATACAATTTGTGTTTCTATTCACATTATTTTGAATAAATGTGATTTTTGAAGAGTTTTTAAACTTTTTTTATTGTTTTAGTTGTATATTCATACTAAAAGAGAGTAGAGTAGAATCTTTTCACTATTATCAGATAGTAGATTATAACTATTCTGACAAGTAGAAATCTCAACTACTTATATTATATCTAGTTTATTATCAGAGTCATTTTTCAATTCTCTAATCTTAACAGAAGTTTGAGAATTCAAATTCTGTTTACATTTAGCTGGAGAATTGAAGTTTGAAATATTAGATAGTTGAGAGTTTCTTCTTTTTAAGCTTACAGTTGTGAGTTTACTGGCTTGACTATTCTCTTCAGTTCTAGATTTGCTTTGATCTTCATCTTTTCTTCAGTTCTTTTGAGTTCTTGAAGTAAACATACATTCTTTTGAGCTAGATGCATGTTTTTCTTTGCAATTAGAGCATCTAAGCAGAGTGTGTTGATATATTTCATCTCTTTTTAAGCATGTTTCACATTTATGCTCACTAGTTTTGTGATCTCTGACATAGAATACACATTTTGAGTCTCTAAAATAAGAGATTGCAAAGTGTTCATATCTTTGACAGTTTAAATACTGTGTTTGAGCTTTGAGATTCATTCTTGAGTCTTTGTATTCATGAACTCTCATTTTTAAATCTGCTACTCTTACTTCAAAGATCTTTGACTGTTCAAGTGTTTTTATATATACTACAACAGAGGCATTTCTTCTGCTTTATCTGAACTCAATTGAATTTAATTGTACAGACTCTTTTCTCAGTTGAATAGAGTTGTATTCTTCTAATTTGTTTTTGAGAAGTAGCATTTCTTCTTCACAGTCAAAAATTACAACTAGAATATTATAAAGAATGAATTTGTCTCACTTTTCATCTCTCTCAGATAGAATTGTTGTGTTTAACAAAGATTCTACTGCTGATTTTCAGAGATTCACATTCTGAATAAGAAATTCCGCACTGAATTCAGACATTGTAGTCAGAATGATGAAGTTTTCAAAGAAGAATGACTCAATTGAAGCTATAACTGATTTTTGAACTTCAATATCAGTTATTAACTGAGAAAAGAACTGCTGATTGATTTCATTTCTAACTCTGAAAATAAGATTTGAGTTTAGCTTGTTTCTCTGCAAGATATTCTGATTTGAGAATTTGAGAATAAGTCTTCTATTTCTGTAAATTTGAAAACTTTTCTCTTTTTACATTTTTTTCTTCACTTTTCTATTGATAGAAGTATGAGCAGTATTCTTCTCAGTTTTCTCAGAATTTTGAGCAGGTTTTGATGTAATTCAAAGGTTGCTTGAGCTAGCATACGATTACAGGCGTACACCGGCTTCTTATATACTGTATACTAAATTAATTGGTGGCTGCTATGGCCTCTTTACATTCGTAAGCAAGTTCAGAAGCAGCTGTGTTATTATTCAGCAGTTGTACATTCTTTCACACTACATTCTCTCTCATCAGATTCAGTCACGCCTATGTGATCATAATGTATGCCCTAGCTTCATATGAATTAGTGTATTACTAGTGTTCATGATTGTGTGACCTATCTCTGATTCAGCTAGTATTCTGTATACACTCTCACAAAGAAACTTTTACTATATTATATCACTTATTCACTAACTTTTTTCATTCTTTAATCATCTTCTTCATCATTATCATCATTAAACATTATTATCTTATTTCAGATTTTTATCTCTTCTGCTATTCAACACTTTCTATCTGTTCATCTATCACATTGTATATATTTCTGGCAATGGCCTCTCATTCTTATAACAAGTGTCATTGTAGTGCTCATATCAGGCAGTTCATTAGTAGTAAGTGTAACATGTTGTGAAATGTGACTGAGACTTGTTTATCTTCTAATAATTGTCAGAATGTACTAACATGAATAGACTGACTGTGTGACCGTGTCTGAGACCAGGATCAGAATATTTAATGATCTCATTATCAATTCAACTGATCTCATTACACTGTTTTAACATTAGATAGTAGTCTCATACTGTTTCAGTGAGACTTACTGTCTACTCTTATCACATTTTTCAAATGAGATCATGATTTTCACTTCTCAATTTAAATTATTTTTATTGCTTTAAATGACTTTAAATCTCATTTGAGTGTTATCAAAAAGCGTTACTTTTTAAAAAATTAAAAATAGTCTAAAAAAAACCTTAAAATGTCTAAAAATAGTAACTTTATGCCAAGAATGAGACTAAATGAGATCAAATGAAACCACTTTCTCATTTTTTTCAAGTCATGATTCTATTTTAAAATCTGATATATAGTCACTCTGCATGTTTTTTTAATGATTAGTTCCAGCAGGATTCACACCAAGAAATGTATGAGACCAGACCAAATGAGATCAAATGTGAAATTCATGGTCCCGGCGGCCAGTCTAATCATGAATGATACATCTTCTTCATCTTCTTATATACTTCTGACTCTCTTTTCTCTAGCAGTATCTGATTATGTTTTTCTGATTGTTTTGCATGACTGCAGATACTGATATTTTTCTTTTGATTTATGTAGAATCTTCACATGTTGACAGATCTGTATCTGCTGATGATTGTGATCTCAATGTTAAATTATTGATTGAGAGGTGGGAGGAAGTGATAATGAAGAAATTATCTATATTATATGTGACTGAGACTTCTGCATCTTTCTCTACTCTTTTTGTTTCTTTCTCTGTCACTCTCTCTCAATCTTCTACACCTGTCTCTGTGTCTGATTCTCCTGCTCTTACTATCTCTGTTCTCTTGATCTCTACTTTCACTACTTCTGCTCTCTCTGATTCTGCTGTCTCTGCTTTTATTATCAGCTCTCTCTGTTTCAAGAAGATGTTGTGTAGACTTAATAAACTATGTTTCTCAGTGTGTACACTTCTGCTCTTCTTACTGATCTCTAGAATAATTTATTGTATGAAGATAATGTATAACATGACTATCTGAAGCTCAGTCACAGATGCTGATTATTATGTTTATTTTAAATATTTATAATGAAATAATTATTTATTTATATCAGAGAATTATCTCTCTTCTTAACAGTGTTGAGATTGTAAGTCTTTTTCTTTTTCATCTTTTCTTTCTGATACTGATTTTCCTATTCTTAGAGAAAATTATTATGAGTTTTATTATACATCAAGTCATGATATTCACAGATATTAAGAAACTTTTTATAACTGTTAAATTCAATATTATGAGTATATTTAATCTGATGAATATCTTTGAAATGATCAATCTGTATTAGTCTATTCTCTGATATTTATTGTCTGACTTTGTAATACAGGTGAAGAATATCTATGTTTTTGAAAACAGAAATGTGAATATTATACTCTTTTATACTTATAGATATGAGGCTTGTACATCTTGTCTGAGATGTCATTGTGAGAATAAGCTGTTTGTATACTATGTTCTGCTTTCTGTATTCTCTCATGTTTCTCTCTCTCTTTCTGAGAAGCCTTGTGTGTGTTGTAATTATATGTACAATTTTAAGATCAGTAGATATTCATTCAGTAATTATTATCTCTGCTTTTGCAGTTTTCATATACTAATAATAGTTCTTAGTTGCTCTGATGTCAGAGGTCATTTTAATTGAAGATGATAATGCTGCTGAAACTACTCTCTCTCACTCTCAAGCTTCTCTCAGCACTTTCTCTTTCTTTTCTGCAGAGAAGATTGTGTGCACACTGAGTTATAAGTATTCAGTCTCAGATGACTTTCACTGTTATTCATCTGATTCTGTATCTTCTTCTTCTTTCATTTCTTCTATCTCTGCTCTTTCTGTTCTGACTTCTGATTCTGCAGGTCTCACACTCTTGTTCAATTTTTCTATACATATGTATACACATTTCTATATTGGCATTTCAGTCAATCCTGTGATAAATGATATTAATATTGTACACAGAGTAGTAGAGAAATCAGAGATGTATACAGTGTTATTATAAGAGTAACTTATAACTCTCAAATTTCTTACACATCTTGAGTTTTGAGATTTTCTTTGTTTTTGATGTTTTTCAGATGATGTGGTGTTGAAAATAGATTAAATATGTAGTGTATGAAAATGAATGAGATATATATGATAATATTTGTCTTTTACAGCTGACTCTTATAGTTAATAATTAATTTATTATCTCTTCTCTTTTCTTACACTTTTCTTTATCTGCTAGTCACTACTCTTACATAATCTCTATATAATACAGTGTTCAGTGACTAGGTTCAGCAGCTTTCATCTTATGATTCTGTCTTGTATATTATACTGTCTCTCTTTGCCTGCTCAGATCACTACAGTAAACAGCTTATCAAAACTAATCTTATTCAATCTCTAAGTGTCTTCAGAGATTGAGATGACTTAGTCTCACATGTTCACAGATGTTTCAGATAATTCATTCTCTATTATCTCTACAATTGAACTGATGTAAACAGTTGAATTCAACTCTGAATTTCTTTTTCTTCTGTGATCTGATTCATGTACAAGTCTGCTGCTTTGAGACTGCTCTTTGTCATATTATATCTGCTATCTGTGATGTGTTATTATATGACTGACTACAGTCTCATCACTTATTGAAGTGTGATATTCATCTGATTTCTTTATTTCTTTTCATTCTTTTCTTATAATTATGAAAAGATTGAAATAAGTGAGATCATCTGATTTATAAGTGTCTATAATTTCTCTTACTTTGTAAGACTTTTCAATTGTAAGTCTCTTCTTTTTCAACACTGATAAAAGTACTGTGAATAATCATAATCTGCTCAGGTCTTGCATCTTTATCTTCATAAGATATGAATCATTTATTAAGTTGTATAAGACCAGTTTCTCTGGTTTCTTCAATGTGTAAGTTCTCAGAGAATGTGATTTGAGTATTTTATAGAGTTCAAATTATCTAGATTGAAACTTCTCACAACTCTCATTGTATATGAGAACTCATGTTCTCATCTTAAGACTTGATTTCTTAACTAGTGAGTCTTGTATTCTTTTTAATTGAATTGCTTGATTCAGAAGTAACTTGTTAGCTTTTGCATGTACATAGATGATCTCTTTCAATCTTGATTCTGTGTCTGTGACTGTTGTATCTGCAACTGCTGTTCTCTCTCTCATCTCTTTCAAAACATTCTCTGGGATGCATGGATGCAATTCATACAACAGATAGAATGATGAACACTTGAAGACTGCATGCTGTCAAATCCGTGTGACTAATAGTGCCTGTCTGAGATATTCATCTTATAGTCTCATAGACTTGCTCACTAGATATTTCATCAGTATGTGGTTCAAGATTTCATTCAAGTGTTTCACTTTCTCATTCATTCACAGATGATATAATGTTATTGTATAATATCTTGTCTGTAACTAGCTCATGAAATGCCTCACTGATTCTTCTACAAGATTTGTATTATTATTAGTTAGAATCTCACACAGTATTTCATAGTTAACATAGATTTCATTATGTAGAAACTTTGTCATCATCTTCTCTATTATCTCTGAAACTGCTTTTGTGACTGATCAGTCAGTAGCATAATTAATAGCAGTGATTATTCATCAATTTTCATTTGATATTCATAGCAGTATATCTATGAGATTCATTCTTCATTATTTGAATAATTGTATTGTACACTTCATCAGATGTTACACTTTTTTATATTCTAACTCTTTCTTACATTCTTTTGCAATCTGACAATTCAGGCACTTATGAGTGTATGTCTGAATGTTCTCAGCCATGCTTGATCAGTATACTCTTGATTCATGTACACTCATGAGTTCAGAACTTTCTAAGTGACTGAATTCCTTGTGTATGTAAGTCATTAAGTTATATCTAAATAAATGTTCTAGATAGAGAGTCTCTGCATATTCTAGATCACAGTAAAGCACAATATTGTTTTTCAATTTTCTCAGCTTGAAGTTTAAAAGCATCTCTTCTATCACTTTTATAAGATACTTGTTATTCAATATCTTGCTATTCTTCAAGTGAGAGATCATTGTGTTTACTTATTCTGATTTCTTATATTCTCTCAGTGTATTTAATACAAACTTCTCTTATATCTGATTCACAGAACTCTCACTTATGAAATCAGGTCTGTGACTGATTGTATCAGATATCACAGTGTCTGATCTCTTTCAGGATTTGATATGAAGATTGTATACTTAAAACTCTGAGATTCAATATACTAAGTGTTTGAAAGATTTTATTATTAATTATAGATAGACAAGGCTTTTGTGATCTGTGATCACTGTTGTTGTATATCTGTTGTTAATATATCTATTTCACAATGTCAGTGTGTGCTTAATTGCTAGTAATTTCTTTTCATACACTGAATAATTGAGCTTAACACTCAATAGTTTTCTATCATTGTACATCATCAAATGCAGCTTGCTATTCTTACTCATCTGTAGAAAAGTGTCTCTGATAGCTCATTCAGATACATCTGTCTTAATATAGAAAGGTTTATCATGATCTGATTGAATAAGTACTGAGAATATTATTACATGTTCTCTCAGTGTGAGAAAAGCCTCTTCACATGTGATATTTCAGATAATTGAATAAAACTTCTTCTTTTGCAGATTTGTATCTGTTTCTCTTAAGAGATCTGAGAGTGATGTAGATATTTATGTGAAATTCTTGATAAATCTGCAGTAATATGAGATTAACTTAAGAAACTATTATATATAATATATATTTCTCAGCTGCAGTTAATTTACTATAACATTTAATTTCTTTAAGATGAGGTGTATACAGCTATTACTTACTACATATTCTATAAACTTCAACTCTTCTGTTTCAAACACATACTTTATTAATTTGATATAGAGCTTATACTCTGTCAGAGTTATAAGCATCTCATTGAGATGCTTCAGATATTTGTTATATAAGTTTGAAAAGACTAGAATGTCATTGAGATATATAAGATATGAGATTTCATCCTGTTTATAAAGAATTGTATTCATTATTATTTGAAAGATAACAGACATATTTGTCAGACTGAATAGCATTATCAGGAATTTAAACTTCTCTCATTGTGTATTAAACACAGTTTGTGAGACTGATAGTTCATCTATATAAATCTGTTAGTATTCTGAGAGAAGATTAATCTTTGATAGATATCAGATATTTTTAACTGTATTCAACTGTTATTGAATCTGTGATAGTGAATATTTATTCTTGATTATAAGCTTGTTAAGTGCTTGATAATTGATACACATCTGTCACTTCTCATTCACCTTTTTCATGAATAGAACTGGGAAGCCTCACATGCTTGATAAGAATTGTATGAGATCACATTCTAGAAGGTCTGTGATTTGATGCTTCTGTTCTTCAAGATGCATTTATGACAGAGGGTACACATTCTGATTAACTGGTTTCACATTCTCTGTGTCAATCTCATGTACAAATCCTTGTTTCAGTGATAATTTCAGTGAAAGATCTGTTTAGAAGATCTTTTCATACTTCTTCAGAAGCTTCTTCATATGCTTATTCTTCTATATATTCTTTATCTTGATTTTCTCTGCTTCTGAGTTCTGTATGACATACAGAATGCTTTCAGACAAGATCTTGCAAATCATTCTCTTTACTCATTAATGTGTAAGCAGATTTAATTCTTCTATATCAGAGATATGAAATGTCCCTCTCATATCAGTTGATAGAATTGTATGAATCATAGAGTACACATTCTGATTAACTGGTTTCACATTCTCTGTGTCAATCTCATGTTCAAATCCTTGTTTCAGTGATAATTCCAGTGAAAGATCTGTTTAGAAGATCTTTTCATACTTCTTCAGAAGCTTCTTCATATGCTTATTCTTCTATATATTCTTTATCTTGATTTTCTCTGCTTCTGAGTTCTGTATGACATACAGAATGCTTTCAGACAAGATCTTGCAAATCATTCTCTTTACTCATTAATGTGTAAGCAGATTTAATTCTTCTATATCAGAGATATGAAATGTCTCTCTCATATCAGTTGATAGAATTGTATGAATCATTTTCTTCTTATCAGTTAACTGTATATAACATGTACATCATTGAATCTGTGAATTGAATCTTTGAAATCAATTAAGTCTGAGAATAAGATTATATTTCATGTTCTGCAGCTCTCATTCTTAAAGATAATAAGATCATTCTCTGAAGTGTAAGAGAACTCTTACTCTTGCAGATGATATCAAATATCAGT